ACACACACACACAAACTCACACACACACACACACAATCACACACACACACACGCTCTCACACTCTCACACACACAAACTCACACACACACACACTGCTCAATATGATGTTAAGTGTCAGATCAGTGGGCTTGCTGAGGTTTAATAGCTGTCTAAATACGAGACGTCCTCAGTTCCAGACAAAACCTAGAATACTATGTGGAGGATGCAAAATAATTGAATAATTATATAATATGACCGTGTGGTGAACCTATGAACTGAAATCATATTTAATATCTCATATTTATTGCTCTTGAGAAATGTTATGTTTACGGTGATGACGGTGGAGTTTACCCTTGTTGCATAGCAGAAGGCGGATGGTAAAGCCAAGGCAGGTAGCGAATAACCGCTTTGTTGTCTCTGTGGTTGCCTTTGCTGATCTCCATCGCTGCTATCTGAGCCAGACCGACCTTCAGATTCCCACCGAAGCCCCAGCAGAACACTTAAAACAGCACACTTCTGATATTTTCATTATTCATATCATAAGGTATTTTCATGTCATCTGAAGGGAAATTAAATGACCAGCAGAGCCGAAGAAATGAATGAACTTACTCTTGTTGCATTTGTTACAGGAATCTTCAGCAAGCAAATGATCATTCTCAGACTCGAGTCCAGCGGACACTTCAGAAAAGAGAAGAAACAGGAGGAACTCTTAAGAGGAGAATACTGAGAGCATTTATTCTCTGATTCCTCTGGCGTTACAGAGCACAGAAAGGCTGAACTGGTACCTTGAGTGGCAGAACAGCAGGTAGTTTGGTTAGAAACGTGTGGAACTGGTTCGAGATGGTTGTCCACAGGTTGCTGGGTGAGTCCATGGGAAGCGTCTCCATGAAGGTGGCGATGTTGTCCAGACAGTGCAGAATAGTGCCTCCTGCTGGCAGAGTCTTCTTATTGTTCAGACCCTACCACCACACCATCAGCTTTACTGTGTGTGCTTTATAGTGACCACAGCCACAAACTCACCGTTACAGCTTCTACACATACTATTAGCATAAAGCAGAGGGTCAACATTACCAAGTAAACCTTTATTATATTGCACATATTGTAGTAGTTCAACAAGCTGCTTCTGGAAACTATTCAGGAATAGTTTATGCAACAATTACAATTTCCTTAAAAAGTGCTCATCCCCAGTCAAGATATAGATGAGTTTGTTTCTTCATGTGAACAGATTTGGAGATATTTAGCATTGAGATATTTTTTACTTCATATTGTTACTTCCGGCTAGAACACAAGTCCATAATCCATAATAACTCTTCCTCCAGTGAAAAAGTGCGTCTGCTGTTGTCTCTCACATCAGAATCCAGCCACATATGTGTTTAGAGCTGTTTAAACGCTGCTTGATCTGTGCAGATTTCTCTCCTGATTCACACCAGAACACTGACTCACTGGAGGAAGCGTTATTATGGATTATGGACTCAATGTATTTGAGTTAAAAACGTCTTAATGCTGGATTAGTTTCAGCTTTTGTCTTCTCCAGATGTTAACTGATGGACTGGAGTGCTGTGGATTATTGTGATGTTTTTATCAGCTGTTTGGACTCTCATTCTGACGGCACCCATTCACTGCAGAGCATCCATTGCTGAGACACTGATGCAGTGCTACATTTCTACAAACCTGATGAAGAAACAAACTAATCTTGATCTGGGATGAACTGAGGGTTTGCACATTTACAGCAAATGTTCATTTTTAGGTGAACTATTCCTTACAGCAATAATTGTGTAAAACATGAAATCCTCCTGTAAGATTTGACATTTAGGGCAGCACAAAAGGTCAAATACTTTAAATAAAGCTTTCCACACTTCACTGTCACAAGAGTGTCCTCTGCTGGAAGCCACTCGTCAGAGCATCGTGACCTGCTTGTTTCAGAGGCAGGTGTGTCAGTAGTGCGGCTGATGAACAGACGTACCTCCAGGAGCTGACTGAGCGCTGCCACCGAGCTCAGCTCATTGAAATCAATCAGAGACAGGGCCAGCGTCCTCAGGAAGCTTCCATCTGAAAGAGAACCGAGCCGGTGAAGTGTTTGTGCTGTGTGTATGTGTGCGACTGTGCTCTGAGGTGCCTCTCCAGACCTTTAATGTTGCTCTGGAACAGTTGTGGTAGGATGCCATTGGGTGCGAGCTGATGGAGAACGCAGCGGAGGAACTGCTTGGCTACACCAGCCACATTCCCAGGAATCAGCACGCTGCACACATGGGACAATAACGCTCAGACTTACACAACTCAAAGTGTGCATTACACAAGCATAAACGCAGAACTCACCTTTCAGCTTGACCGGTGAAATTGGAGCTAGAGGCCAACCTGCAGAATAAAAGCAAAGAAGTGAAAGAAAGCCATAGTGATTATACTGCTGTAGTGTGCTGAAGAGAGCTGTACCTGCCCACAGACTGCATGATCTCCAGCAGCAGCGGAGCGGCCAGATCAGGACTCAGATGGATGAACATGGACAGAACCACCACAGCCAGAGCCAGAGTCTCCTCATCATACTCCTCCAGCACAGCCCCGCAGTCACGGCACCTGATCAGTTCACACAGAGCTGTGATCTTCTGCACTTCTTCACACTGAAACACTGAGGGTCAGACCCACCTGTCGGACATCGTAGTGGGCTGCTCGTCGCTGAAGTCTTCTGGCGCGGGAACGAACATGCTGACGGTGCTGGGGGCCGACAGCAGACTGGTCTTCACTGGACCTGCAGAGAAAAACACAAACATCGTGAGGCACAAACTCAAGTACTGCACGATACAATGGGAGACAATGTGCTTTTCACTACTCCCACAGTGCATATTACTGCAGAAATACTGCAAACACTGATGAAACAACAGATTTTGTGAGAAAATAAATGATTTGTGGTTTGTTTCTATTAAAAATCTTACAAATGTATGAGGTGGCGATGTGTGCCTTTTACTAAACCCCCCCCCCACACACACACTCACACACACACACACACACACACACACACACACACACACACACACACACACTCACACACACACACACACACTCACTCACACACACTCACACACTCTCACACACTCTCACACACACACACTCACACGCACACTCGGACACACGCACACTCGGACACACGCACACTCACACTCACACACACACACTCACACACTCTCACACTCACACACACACACTCACACACACACTCACTCACACTCACACACTCTCACACACGCACACTCACACGCACACTCGGACACACGCACACTCACACTCACACACACACACACACACACACTCACATAATGAATATCTAATATCTAAGTTAATATTAGTTCAAAATAATCAATCACTTCAGCAAAGTTTGTACTGTTTTTTTTGTTTTGATAAATAAACATTTATTTTTGTTCAACAAATATACTGTCATTAAAATATGTTCATTTTAAAAATACAGAAACTAAATTATTTTTAAAAAGTAAAGATTCTGAAAGCATTGAAGCACATCCCATAATAAATTAATATAGCTTTACAGTAGTAACAATAAATATGGTCTTTTAGTATATGATATGACTAATAAATATGATGGTTTCATTATAAATATGGTGATTATCTCTAAGATGCACATTATATTTACCATCTGAATATAACCATGTCATGTCAATAAATGGAAAAGTCAGTCAGATATTTATTATCATATTAATTATTGTATAATTTGCTAAACATTAAATATTAGATCAAATGAACGCAGAATCAACTTTGCGTTGCTGTCCATGAATTCCACCTGCACAGTCAAACGTGGTTATTAACAAAAGTGCTGAGGTGGATTTCTAGAATAAAGTGGAGAATAAAGTGAAAAGTGCAGCTTTAGCCCCGCTGAGCCCCACCATCACACCGGAGGGCTGGGTAATGTATGATCAGAGAGCGAGCAAAGAGTTAATGAATGCTGAAGACTGACCCGTGTCCCAGGTGTTGATGTTCTGTGGTGCGCTGGACTGATGCTCCAGCTGCCGCTTCATTAACTGACTCATCGTCACTGCACCCAGCGAGCCTCGCTTCACCTGACGATACTGAGCTGAGGACAGAGAAAACACCTCAGCAGGCTCTCAGAGGCCAGCACTGTTCACACTAGAGCTCAATGCACAGATGAATATGAGCATTAATGTGTAGCTGATTTACTGGACACTGAGGAGCGATGGCTGGTTTCAGGGACGGCGGCCTCCAGGGCCGGAGCGGAGGCCGATTCTCTGGGCTTCTCCAGGCTCGACAGAGATTTGGCATCTGTACAACAACACAGGCGACTGAACTCAGTGTGTAACCACTGCATAACATTAGAACATTTGTTAAAGTTAATGCAATTCTCCTGCATCAGTTAGAACAATAATTAGTAGGTTGAATGTGCTTTAATTGTCGTCTGTATGACCTACATTAATGTCTTTAAACCATGAAAGTTTGTCTCACTGTTAACCTGCTGAAGGTCTTGCTATTGAAATTCATTTATATTGTAAGCAGTCTGTTTACACCTTAAACATTATGCTAGCTATAAATAACTTTGCAACTACATGTCAACTAAGTAAGATGTTAGGTGTGGATTAAATGTTTTTAATGCACGATGTATAAAGTGTTACCAGAGATTTATTATGAAATACTAACAAATACTAACCAACAAAGGCATAGTGTGAAACACATTGTAAATAAAGTATTCTATCAGTGAAAACACAGGAAGAAGGAAGAAGGCGCACAAAGCTGAAGGATGCTAATAAAGCAGGCTGACAGACCTGACTCTGCGGCCGTTTCTTTCATTTTGTCTACAGTGTTGAACGAGATGTCCAGATACTCCCTCTGGATGGCGCTGACAGCGATCTTCCTCTCTTTGCGCTGGCGTGGCACGATCTGGATCCTGAATTCAGCTTCATCGCTCTCGTCGTCAGGTTTGGGGTCGCTGTCTCTCTCATCCGTCTCGTCGTTGTCCTCGTCTCCTGCTCCCTCCCCGTTTAACGGATCCAGCGACTCGAGCTCGTCCGCAGGAATCTGGAGCACGACGGACCTGCTGGAGGGACTCATTCCGCCGCTATCCTCGGGCTGCGTGCAGGAATCATCCAGGGATGCGTTGGGCATGTGCGAGGTCTTTCTGAAGAGATCCCGTTTCTGTTTGAGGGTCATGGTGGCATCCTGAGGAGCCGCGGGGGGCTGGAGCGTCTGGCTCTCGGGGCTGACCTGCAGGAGCACTCCGCCGGGGAGCTTGAGCGCCTCAAACAGGTCCTCGTTGCTCTCCACGATGCGCAGAGGAGGCAGCGGCTCGAACACCAGCGAGTCGCTGTCGGAGAGTGAGAGAATGGAGTGCTTCTCGGGGATGGAGGTGCAGTCGGAGGACAGGTCTATGAGGTCCGGATCGTCCTTGTCAAGCGCAGGGGCGGCCAGCGGTGAGTCCAGACCGACGAGTTTATCTTCAAACGTCTCCATACAGCTGAGACGCACCTCGGGTATGATGGGCCGGATGCTGTCGCTCTGAGCGGCGGAGCCTCTTCGGTCGGTGACGGAGTGGCCGTTGGAGGAGTGTTTCCCGTGGTGCTGAGCTCTGTGTTGCTGTCGGCCGATAGAGGAGGAGGACGAGGGCTCCTGCAGGTCGCAGCGCTCGATGCAGGACTTGCGTCGGTGCTCGTCCAGGTTGAAGAGGATGGAGTCTGTGTTGCTGATGTCCAGAGACTTCTGCTTGTGCATGGCTTGCAGCCTCTTCTTCTTGCTGTTGCTGTCCTCTCGGCCCGAGTACAGCAGCGTGTCCTGCAGCGCGCCGCTCTCCCTGTACTCGGCCAGCTCGATCTCACCTGTGCAGGACACAAGAGCAGGAGGTTAGGCGAGGAAAGCTTGGCGAGCGCACGGTAGGGGTGTGTGATATACATCGTCTGTGATAATATCGTAATTGTTGTTTTAACGATCTGTGATTTGACATTATCGAGTATTTTGCAAAAACCATTCAAAGCATCCCTACAGAGCGCAAGCATACATTACGTGAAGTCTAGATTAGTGCGTGTGCATTTAGTGTGTTCTTTCACTGATTCAGTCTAATAAAATACATTTAGAATGATCACAAAAATCAAGACATGGGGGCAGAAAATGTACATATTTATACCACTTCATATAGGCTAGTTAATCAATTTCACACGAAGAGTGCGGTTTTTTTTCTCCAAAAATTACCATAATTACAAATGTGATATGGATTTTTTACAACAGTTCAATAAACAAGAAGTTAATTTAGGCTAACGTTTTAGACACCATATTGCCTGTTTTTGCTTTATTTCACCAACAAAAATAATTTTCCAAACACAGCCACAGTACTGTTTCGCTTCTCTGAGCAACATGACGGTGTTTCGTTCCTGAATGAATCAAACGTTTAAATGATTCGGTTCAATATCAATGACTCACTTATTAACAGTGACTTACTGCCACCTACTGGCGGCTTTAATTTCACATTTAAAGTATCTTTTTATTATTTAAAAAATGTCAAATATCAGTATTCAACATTTTAGGTTTAATATTTTAATATATCAAAACATTATTTCTGCATTTGTAGCTGCAGGTTAAATGCATTCATGTCCTGCACTAAACCGTGTGTAAACACATCTAAACACCTCTTCAGACGCAGCGTCTGTGTTTCCTCTGCACTGCAAAGATGCATTTTGTTGATACTGATTTTATTTGCTTGGTAACAGCCCAAAAGTCTTATTCTAATTCACTGATTAAATGTAAGAATTTGACATGAAAGATAACGCAAACTTTTAGAAAATGGCTTTATAAAGGTAAAAATCAATTTTAACTTATTGAAAAGGATTGATTTCTATCAGAATATCAAAACTTAAGTCAGTTTAAGATACCAGCACAATAACACACTCAGCAAAATATCATCTAATTATCGTCGATAAAATCCCAGAAAGTATGGAGATATTATTTTTTGTCAGTATCGCAGGGCATCCACACGGATACGCACTTCTCTGAGCGTTGAGCTCCACAGGCTGATACTTGACGGACTTGCTGCCTCCGATCCTCTTCAGACGGGCGAAGAAGGTCTGCGACTCCTTACTGCTCGCTCCCGTCGGAGTATCGTGGATGTCCGACTCGTCAAATACGCTGTCCTCCTCTACACAGGGAAACACAGGGCATTAAGCGGCAGCACATCACTAACCGTTCCCGTCATGCCGAGCGCGACCTGTACCTTTCTCCTTCTCGCTGTAGCGGCTGGTGTTGGAGTTGTCACTGTACAGCGGGCCTGCGGACACGTGCGACCTGCAGCTGTGGTACTGAGCGTTCAGCGTGTTGATGGTGATGTGGATCAGATGGAGCACCACCTCTTTACTCATGTCCATCTCTCTGTATGGATACTGAAACACAGTGAAGAAGAAGCCAAGATCCATGAATATCTGATTAAGAAGACTACAAGAATAAGATTCATGTTCTTTGTGCTATTCTTTTCACAAGAGAGATCACTGTTTGCTTTCAAGTAGAAGAGAAACTACTTTAGAAATAATAAATAGAAATCCACTGAAGAAAATTCCTGCTCCGATGATAGATTTATCTCTCTTCCAATAACTATTACATTGAACTCTAATGTGTGGTTGTCAGTTTAAGATACCAGCACAATAACACACTCAGCAAAATATCATCTAATTATCGTCGATAAAATCCTAGAAAGTATGGAGATATTATTTTTTGTCAGTATCGCAGGGCATCCACACGGATACGCACTTCTCTGAGCGTTGAGCTCCACAGGCTGATACTTGACGGACTTGCTGCCTCCGATCCTCTTCAGACGGGCGAAGAAGGTCTGTGACTCCTTACTGCTCGCTCCCGTCGGAGTATCGTGGATGTCCGACTCGTCAAATACGCTGTCCTCCTCTACACAGGGAAACACAGGGCATTAAGCGGCAGCACATCACTAACCGTTCCCGTGATGCCGAGCGCGACCTGTACCTTTCTCCTTCTCGCTGTAGCGGCTGGTGTTGGAGTTGTCACTGTACAGCGGGCCTGCGGACACGTGCGACCTGCAGCTGTGGTACTGAGCGTTCAGCGTGTTGATGGTGATGTGGATCAGATGGAGCACCACCTCTTTACTCATGTCCATCTCTCTGTATGGATACTGAAACACAGTGAAGAAGAAGCCAAGATCCATGAATATCTGATTAAGAAGACTACAAGAATAAGATTCATGTTCTTTGTGCTATTCTTTTCACAAGAGAGATCACTGTTTGCTTTCAAGTAGAAGAGAAACTACTTTAGAAATAATAAATAGAAATCCACTGAAGAAAATTCCTGCTCCGATGATAGATTTATCTCTCTTCCAATAACTATTACATTGAACTCTAATGTGTGGTTTATTTACACTTGATGTGTAGTGGGTGGCATAACTAGGATTGAACAGTGCAAAAACACATGAAAACATAACACTGTGATTTAGTTTTCATAGCTTTGACCTGGACATCTTTTCACTAATACAATCCCTAAATGAATTTCTTAAAGCTGCAGTCCGTAAGTTTTGGTGCTCTAGCGGTTATTAAACAGAACTGTGTGCGTCTTGCGTAAGAACATTGCAGCCGGAGCTACTTCTCTGTTTATGTCTCTGATGAATCCCGCAGGTACTGGGCTACTCCGCAGCGGTTCCACCAGAACCAGTCTGAAACAGTCCGAATACACACACTTATTACAGGTGTACCGTAGTGATTCAGAATAAGCCAAAAACATGGTTTGGACAATGGATTCATGGTGTATTCACTTATTATATACAATTTTTAATTTTTGAACACAAAAAGGTTATGGACTGCAGCTTTAAAATAAAAGTGGTCAGTCTGTTTATTTATTCTGAAATGTCCCATTCGGTTTACAAAGCAGCATGTGGGATCTTGATAGGTTGAGTTTCAGTCGTTTTCCTTTTTTCTGTTTTTGTTCATTGTTATTACAGAAAAGGGGAATTTGCTAATGCTTCAATTGCACTTGCACATTTCACATTCCCAATAAATATATCTATTAAAAAAAGCTATATTTGGGATAAACTAATTACTACTAACCCAAATATTAAGTCTTTAAATATAAACTTTGTGGGCCAGAGTTTTGCATGGCCAAGCACTACTCTCATTTCCTACAGAAAGTGTGCAGAACAAGTTTCATATATTGTTTGAAATGAGTCCGTTTGGTTTCTTAGTATGTTTTAGGCCTATAATAATAAAGCACATAACTCTGTAACTCAAGAGTGTTTGGAATGTAAAGACATCCCGCAGATAGAGAGATAAATCCAGAGACATCTCAGCATCCTGGCCACAGTTCGGATGAACACCTTGTAGAGGATGACGAGCAGGGCCTTGAGCCACATCTGTCTAGTGTGAGGCCTGAGGGCCCAGAGCGAGCAGCGCGGCGGCTCCTGGAAGTTAGGCCTCAGCTGCGGACACGTGCAGTACTTCAGCACCTGCACCACCAGCGGCAGCAGCTGTTTGCCCAGACCGATGTTATAGTCCATCACCTGAGGAGACAAAGCAATCAGTCAGGAACACATCACGCTCCTCACAAAGGCTGTGTCTGAAATCGCCCCCTATACCCTTAAATAGGGCACAGCCATTTTCAGTGGTGTCCGAAACCTTAGTGGACATTATCAAGTGCACTCATTCAATCCCACAATGCACAACCAATGTACACTCAACGGCTAGAGAATACCCACAATGCACTGTAAGAGTCGCGCGCTGAATGAATTCTCGCATCTCACCAGAAGATGGGGCCCGCAGCTGAATCATCCATCTGTCCATTTTACAAAGTGCTCTTCCACGGCGTACAGCGCAACACAGGTATAAATTCATTGTAAACTGATTTTTTTAGTTGTATAATTAGGGTTAATACATGATTTCCATGACAGAATTCAAGATAAATCCTATAATTAAACAGTAAGCACAAACTATGCAACTATCACTCGTTTTCCTTCACTCCCTCAACTGAGCTGTATTAGTGACCGAACGTAGGGAATAGTGAATGCAGAGAGCGGGACTCACCCGAGCGATTCCTGCGATGAAGGCGTTGAAGCAGGTGGAGGAGCGCATTTTCTGAGGGGTGATCATGAAGCATCCCATCTGCTGATCGTATCCCAGCAGGACGTAGAGATGCCGCTTGACCGTGTTGAAGGCTTTGGCGCTGCCGATGTCTGCCTCTGCGCTGCTTTTGTCTTTGGCCATGAACTTCATGAGCACCATGATGAGCTGATGGACGGTCTGGTGGTCTATGCCTGCGTCCTCCGGCAGCAGGTCCTTAATGACGGAGTCGTCCTCTGGAGGAGAGCTCTCTCCTGCACGGTAACAAGGTGTGGCGCTGTTAGTCTCCTCGACAGACGCTCTACAATGGTTTGTTAGAGGGGCCTATTATGCGTTTTCATATTTATGCAGTTCAAATTTCAGGGGCTTCACTGAAACAGAAACCAAACACAGCGTTTCGAGACAGACTGGGAAGAGAGGTGCTCCAATCATGTAAAATATGTAAAAAAATTATGCGTTTTTGGAACAATCAAGCATGAAAACCTTTCCTAGCACACCCCAACATCAAGACTCTGTGAAAGGGCATAATAGAAGCTGATGTTTGGGTGGAGTGATGATTCTGAACACAACTAAAGTACTGATGAATGTAAGTAAGTCATGAGTGACTGTCGACGCTGTGCTGCTATGCTTGACGAGGTTAGTGTGCTTCACCTGTCAGGACTTTCTCGAACATGTTTCCCAGTATGGGTGCCGACTGCTCTTGTCTTATGAGTCTGAGAGCTGAATCCAGAAAAAAGAGAAACAGAAAGTGAAGGACATCTTTGGTGAATATTAGCAGGACTCTCTGAGGTGTGAGACATGTGATGGAAAAGCAGCAGGGCTACAGGAGTGCAGGTCACTCACGCAGTTTGTTGCACAGTGTCTCCGGGAGGGAGAAAGTGCGCTTGGACCCGGACGAACCCTTGACGCTTTCTCGTAGCGAGCGGACGCTCTTCTGACGGTTGCGGGCGAAGCGAGCACGTCTGATCTTCCACATGGCCGCATCGCTCAGGTTGGCCACATTAGTCCTCACCGCTGTGATCGCTTACAGAGCAAATCAAGACATGATCAACTTGGTGAATAATCAGGGTTTCTGCAGGTACATTTAAGACTTTAACACATTTTCAAGACCAAGTGAAGACAATATGTCCTCTAAATGTAAATGTCCAGGAGAACACAATGAGTTTTATTAGCATTAATAGTTTGAAAATACATCGTCTAACAGATCTCCATGACTTTACTTTAATAGCTCTGCTGCAAAACACTGGAATATAGAAATAACTGTTACTGTATCTTCTGATCACACTGCAACAAAAGTGCTGCTCTTCCTCAGTATTTGTCTTTTTCCAGTGAAAATGTCTAAAGATTCTTAAATCAAGATACACTTGCTTCAGATGGAAAATAACATAAGAAGTCTTGTTTTATAAGAACATCAAAATGAGGTGAACTTAAAAAGAACAGATATCTGCCAATGGGCTCAGAAATATCAACTTAATTCAAAGGTAATTCATAATTAATACCTAATTGACAGATATTTGTTTTTGTTACAAGCATAAATTTAATTATGTTCAGTTTGTCAGTAAGCAAGACTTCATATGTTCATTTTGCATCTCAAGCAAATGTATCTTGATTTAAGGATATTTAGATATTTGTACTGTACAGGGCTCAAGCTGCTTCAAACACAAAGGATGCTTGCACCAAATGTTGGTTTCATTTAGTTACTAGAAGTTAATTGATAAAGAAAATGTATTCATGACAGTATCCTCATTTTATAGCATTTTTACACAAGTGCCTCAAACTTTTATCAGCACTGTAGCTTTGCAGGAGGTTTCTAGAAGCATCAGTTCTTCTGGATTGAGTCTGTCTCGGTTCGTTCTGTTTCTTCATGTGACTCCAGACAGACGGATGATGATCAGATCAGAGCTCTGTGTGCAGCACTAACATATATCTCACTGCATTATTACAATTAATGGCACAATGAATGTTTGGAAATGTAAACTGATATTTCCTTCTGACACACTACAGCAAAAGAGAGAAATAAGTGACTTACAACCATTTTCAGCTGCTGAGAATACTAGTGTTCTGATGCTTTTGGCCAGCGCTGTAGACGTGCTGACATGAACAGTTAATTCAAACACACTCACTGGTAGGAAAAGGAAACTCTTTGTTGCAGTCGAGGTGCAGCTGGGCCTCGAGCGACAGCGTCTCGAAGCGGTTGACGAAGAACTCCCAGCTCAGAGCGGGGATCTCCTGTCGGAGCGAGTGCAGCAGCAGCAGTTTGCTCAGGATGACGGGCCGGTCCCTGACCACCGTGTCAAACTGGAAGTCCAGGCACAGACACAGGCCCTGGTGGAGGACACACAAACACACGTTAGTCCCGGTCCCTTCATGACGTGACGGGGACACTGATGCGATCAGGTCTCTGTCACCTGCAGCGCGGGCCGTTTGATGGAGTCCAGCAGCAGGCGCGCTCTGGTGGCCACGGCGGGGTTCACGTCCTCGATGCTGGCCAAGAAGCAGCAGAAAGCGTGAGCCAGAGAATACTTCAGCACGTGGCTCTTAGTGACCGAGCCCATGTCCAGAAACCGGCACAGGACAGCCACGCGCTCCACTGAAAGAGACAGCCATTACTTCATACGGCTCTGCCAGAGCTAACAGAAATAACATCATCTAACATCAACAATCACTGACGGTGTCATCAACTACTGTTATGATCATCGAAATACAGAAAAAGGGTGTGCTACATTAAAAGGAACTCACCAATGAAAAACAAGGATCTGCAAGGCATTCAAGTGGTTGGAAATAAAGAGCCTTTAATAAATAAGGGCTAAATCATTACAAATGTTCTTGGCCAATATGTTTTGGCTTTAAACAGCTTTCCTCCGGGTACCAATCACTTATCCACAGAGACTCATGTGCAGTATATAAAAATGACCACATCGATGGGTGTAAGTATCTATCATGAAGGAACCGGATCAGTCAGCTGGACGATAGGAGAGGGAACAGAGCGAAAGATATACCTGGAGAAACAGATTCTACACCATTTCTATAATTGTCCTGTTTGTGCCTTTCTTTCTTTTCTTAATTATGCTCACATATTCTATGGCACTCTATTTGTGTGTGAATTGATTGTAGTCACTCTAACTTGTTAAAGGCTTTTTATGTTCATCCACCTAAGTGTCTTGCAATTCCGTGTTTTTCATTGAATGCTGTGCTGAATTGGCCATCATGGCACTAGTGTGCTGTGGATGGATGAGTGTGGTTTTACTGCATTAATATCTGGTTATTATTGTGTTGCTGGCAGGTGTTCAAGAGTCCTGTTTCCTCACGTCTCTGTGATCATCAGGTCTGTGGACATTGCATCAAATCACTAACCCTGAATATAATCTCTGGGAGTAGATAATCCCACAGCGTTTTAGCAAATGAACAGAAAGGTGCAGACGAGAGTGCGGTCAGACCTGCTTCGAAGCGAATCTTCCAGTCTTGACTGTTGAAGCTGCTGTCCACCAGCCTCCAGAAGATATCTGCGGCGTGGGACAGAGCGAGCGCGTGCAGGAGCTGCGGCACAGCCAGAGACGCCAGCTGACAGAACTCTGACCTCAGCATGGACCACAGGCTGGACACAAACAACACCAGCCACCTGATCATGAGATGTGCTGTTCACACAGAAACACTCCTGACTCTGAGCTCAACTGTACGTCACGGAGAGACTTGTGCCGGTATTCAGTAATGCGAGATATCACGGGAATGAATATGCACGATACTGTTATCGTGGGCACTTCAAAATACAGAGAATAATTATTTATTACAAATTATTCCGAATTTTGAATGCATTTTAAGAATACTTTTCCCATCAACTGGTCACAATGCACATTTTATTTACAACTTATTTTCTAACTTTTCTTTACATTTTAATCTGGACTACAACAGGCCCTAGATATTGTTTGAAAGTGTTTTGATTCGTTATTGTTCGGTCACACTTTACATTAGGGCTTCATTAGTTAACATAAAAACTCTTCTGAACATTCATTAATCTCAGGTAATTCCAATATTTAACAATACGTTGTTTAAATCGAAAGTTGCAGCTGTGTTATTTAATGAGCTAACATGAACTAAGACTTGTATTTTTAAACAAAGATGAATAACTTCTGCAGCAAATGTAGCTATTGCTGATTGTGAATGTTAATGCATTAACTAAGGTTAACTAATGAGGTCTTATTGTAAAGTGATAGCTATAATTCTTTTGCAACAACACTTTTTTGCAACTAAATGTCAATATCATGATATACCGTTACCGTGATAAAAGCATTAGCAATGAATCTCAACACGGTACCTGGGAATGAGCATCTTCTCCTGTATGTAGGCCAGGAACTGAGGCTGATCTTTCCTGGCGTGATACAGGCATTCTCCGTGCAAACACAGGATCTTCAGACAGCTGAGCATGTTGAAGAGGATGTCTGGCTCCTCAAACTTACTCATCTCCTACAAGAAACATCGCAGCAGACTCATGAGAAACATGAACGCCGCACAAGCCTGACTGAACAGAGTGAGATGTTTACCTGCAGAACGGTGTACAGAAGCTTGAGAGAAACAGGAAGCTGTAGGTACGAGAACTTCCTGTCTGCACTATTCTTTAACGCTGGGGAACAGAACACATTTGGGATCAGAAACAGAAAACGTAATGCACTAATGCATGATACATAAACAGTGATTGCTGTTGTAAACGGAGCTGGTGTGGACTGTAACTGGGCTGAAACGCTGCACATACGCGGGATCTCAGGAGAGGGATTGTGACTGCTGGGGTTTTCTGACGGAGCGTCTGCTTCATCCGCTCCATTCTCTGATTTAAGACTGAATTCAGTTTGAGGGAAAACCAAACTCTCCTCCAGACACTCGGATGGTTCCTGTCAAACACACACGACACGGTGAAAAACCTCCTCATCTTTATCATTCACATCTGTGTGTGCGCGTGTGTGTGTGTGTGTATGAGTGTGCAACACACACGACACACTGAAAAACCTCCTCATCTTTATCATTCACATCTGTGTGTGCGCGTGTGTGTGTGTGTGTATGAGTGTGCGCGTGTGTGTGCGCGTGTGTGTGTGTGTATGAGTGTGCGTGTGTGTGTGTGTGTATGAGTGTGCGCGTTTGTGTGTGTGTATGGTGTGCGCGTGCGAGTGTGCGTGTGTGAGTTTGTGTGTGTGTGTGTGCGTGAGTGTGTGTGTGTGTGTGTATGTGAGTGTGTGTGTGTGAGTGTGAGTTTGTGCGTGTGTGCGAGTGAGTGAGTGTGCGAGTGTGTGTGTGTGTGTGTGCGTGTTTGAGTGTGTGTGTGTGTGTGTGAGTGTGTGCGTGTGAGTGTGTGTGTAATGGAAAAATTACATTACATTTGTGTTAAATGTATTAAAACTGTATTCCAGTTATATGAATACATGTAAAAAAGCAGAAGGTTTGCGTGAGGATTGTAGGCTCAGTGCCACAGTCTGATGCTTATTTCACACTGAACCAGAATCAGTTTCACTGCCTAGTAGGATGTTATCTGACTGGCTGGTTTTACGCAAAGTCCAGGAGAAAGATGTGTTTTAGTCATTCGTCACTGTAAGAGAGCAAACATGTTCAGCTCGAAGGGCAAATGGCATAGGGAACAAGGCAATGTTATTATGAAATATGGACTCATATTTGAACTGAAATGAACGGTTTGAAGTTAAAACGTCTTAATGCTGGATGTGTTTCAGCTTTTGTCTTCTCCAGATGTTAACTGATGGACTGGAGAGCTGTGGATTATTGTGATGTTTTTATCAGCTGTTTGGACTCTCATTCTGACGGCACCCATTCACTGCAGAGCATCCATTGCTGAGACACTGATGCAGTGCTACATTTCTCCAAACCTGATGAAGAAACAAACTCATCCTGATCTGGGATGAACTGAGGGTGAGCACATTTACAGCAAATGTTCATTTTTAGGGTGAATGACTCCTTTATGCCAAGTTCACACGGCACGATTTTAGCCCTGAAAACAGGTTTTGCGAAATCGCAGACAAATCCCCCGAAAAAAAATATTTGGCATGCTAAATATCTGGCTCTGTCAGCAGTTGAGAATCCTGCTGAGTGAACTGAGAGTGAACATACACCGGCGATGACCTCCAGCCAATGAGAGAGCGAGAGACAGCGCAGCGGGAAGATCGGGGAGGGCCTTTTTTTTTTTTCATAATGCAATTAGCCATGTACAAACAACATGGCAATATCAGTACATTTTTGCATTAGAATATACAGAACAGGTACATGAAGATATAAAAATAAAATTAAACATAAAAGGGGGCTAGGGTATTTTCCTGTAAATAATATTCTTCTATAAAGGACAAAAGATTTATTGCGTTTTTCTTTTTCATCACTTTGAGAACTTTTGTAGGCTATAAGATATATACCGGTACTCATTATAAAATGCACAAAACGTTGGTTTCACTTTCAAGTACTTAGATTTGTGTATATAAAATTTTCCCAGCAGTTATATGTTGTTAAGGAAGTCATCTTTGTTAATTATTGTGTGTTTGGGGAGGACTTACAGACCATAATATCAGCGTGATCTTGCATTATTTCCTCATGACTTCTCGTGTGCGTTTGGCTGTGGTTTGCGGACCAGACAGAGTTGTCTGTGATGCTTCCTACAGTAAAGTCATGCAGTGTGTTAGCTCCTGTCCTGATCCATCCAGCAGCAGCTGAATGCTACCCCAGATAGTTAGGTTGTGGGCTCATATGATGAGAATGAAATTCTGTCATAGCATTTAAAGCAGTGGTCTCAAACTCAGTTCCTGGAGGGCCACAGCTCTGCAGAGTTTAGCTCCTGATCCTGAAGATCCTGAAGACCTTGATTAGCTGGATCTGGTGTGTTTGATTAGGGTTGGAGCTGTGGCCCTCCAGGAATTGAGTTTGAGACCAATGATTTAAATACATTTTTCTACATTAGTCTGATATATTTTGTCTCAGATAACCCCAGTGCTGAGCAGCACATACAGGATGAACAAAAATCCCTTTCCGTGTCAGTCAAGCTGCTCCTGGTTATGACGGTCTAGCTACACAAGACAGTGGAAGAGCTTATAGTACCATTATCTCAGTATACAGACGAGTCTCACCACCAGCCGCATCTCCTCGCGCGGCGTCAGTCTCTGCAGCAGATCACAGGCCAGCTGGTAGCACAGAATGCTGGACTGACACAGACTGCACTCCAGAGGCTTCTCGTCCTTCTGACAGGTGTGTGAGCCGCCCCACGGAGCCTGCAGCACACTGTTGATGATGCCCACCACATCCCGGCCCAGACTGCTCTCCAGCCCCAGCGTCAGCGCCTCGTCCTGCAGCTCCATCTGCACCAGAACACCGGTCACATATCTCCTGAAGACTGTGCTCTCATCTCTCTGTGTGTGTGAATGACTTCACCTGTTTAAGCACCAGGTCAAACATGAGGATGAAGCAGCCCAGGTTCATGTCGTCATCATCGCAGTCCAGGTCCAGGGCACAGTTTCCAGCAGCGTGGCCGAGGTTCTTGAAGGGGCTGCAGTGCAGGGGGCTACGGAACGGACTGGGAAACGGACTCAGGTTATTGTGCTGCCCTCTCCTGCCGGGGTCAGACACCACACTCACCTGCGGCGGAAACACATCTGCGCTCGGTGTACAGCATCACAAACAAATATGACCCGTCGCAAAAAACTGTTTCCTTTTTAGACATCTGGCAAATATCTCTCCTCATGCCTCAGTACTTCAGAAGGTCACACGTAATTGTCAGATTTCTGTCCTAACAACCATGTTTAACTGCATCCCATGTTCTTAACCCTCAGTCGTTTGGACCAGGAGAGGATTTTCTTTCCCCCAAGAATGCTGGTTAATGTTATTGCAATAGACTAAAACATGCTACTTTGCTCACACACCTAGTATAACAACTTCCCAAAAAATGTTGATCATTTTTGTACTTTTTGTGTTTTTTTTTTACCCTGCCTTGCTACACACGTGTTTTAAATAAAAAAATACCAGCATTCAAAACTGCTTATAAATCTGTTGTCAAGCTATATTAATACCAAATACTGGATTCAATCTTTTAGTACCTGGTTTTCTTTTAATTACCACAGATTTTGTATTTCTTTTTGGCCTTACCGATCTGAGATTGGGTTTTTGAGTGAACATTGCCAAAATTATACACAAATAATGCTTTTTCAAACCCTGAGGAGCCTGAGAGCAGATCAATGAGGCCAAAAACAAGTACAAAACCTGTGCTGATGGAGAGAAAACAAGTTGACAAAAAGAAGAATGCAAGATGAGATGATAGTATAGCATAAGGAGAGATTTAGAGCGTTGTTAAGAAGGGAGCAGCCGGTGAGGAGCAGGCTGTGAGTGCTGTGTTACCCTGCGGACTCCTGCGTTTCCTGACAGGTCTGCGGCTCCAGCTCTTCTCTGATTGGCCAGTTCCTTCAGTGAGTTCACACCATCAGAGAACATGCTGATGAGCAGCTGCAGAGGAACCACGATGTCCAGCTCTGACAGAACCTGTTCACACACGCGACAGACAGATGACAGACCAACACAGCCTCAGATGTTGTTAAACCTGTCGTACAGTAGCTGTGTGGAGTCCAAATGTCTCCACAAGGACAATAAAACCTGAAATCAGCTACAGTCCTTGCAAGAAAAACACATTACAGTTTTTTTCAACAGCTCACACATATTTTGAAAGCTTTGCCTCTTTTTTTCAAAACTTTACACACAAATCCAAGAATTGCACACAAAATGCAAAATGCCTCGGATCTCTTGCACAATAAAGCACTGCATTCAAAATATCACGAACACATCTCAAAAGCTCACATTTGTCTTACGTTGCAAACACCTTTGCCATAATATTATATTTCTGGATATATCATATACACGCAGTTATTCAAAACCTAAAGCTGTTCTTTCATGAGCTCCTACATTTCTGAACAAGATTGAAAGTAATTGACAGAGAGATGCTGATAAATTCACAGTAAACATGAAAGCAAGATTGAAAGCAAACTTCTTTTTACTGTAAGCGTTTGTGGTTGTGAATAGAGTATTACACAGTACGAAAGTATGTGTGTGTGTGTGAGTGTGTATGTGTGTGTCTGTGTGTGTGTGAGTGAGTGTGTGTGTGTGTGTGTGTGTGTGTGTGTGAATGAGTGAGTGAGTGAGTGAGTGAGTGAGTGTGTGTGTGTGCGTGAGTGAGTGTGTGAGGGAGTGTGTGAGTGAGTGTGTGTGCGTGTGTGTGTGTGTGTGTGTGTGTGTGTGTGAGTGAGTGTTTGTCTGTGTGTGTGTGCGTGCATGCGAGTGAGTGAGTGAGTGTGAGTGAGTGAGTGTGCGTGTGTGAGTAAGTGAGTGTGTGTGTGTGTGAGTGAATGTGTGTGTGATTGAGTGAGTGTTTGTGTGTATGTCTTTGTGTGTGTGTGTATGCATGTGTATGTGTGTGTGAGTGAGTGAGTGTGCGTGTGTGTATGTGTGTGTGAGTGAGTGACTGACTGAGAGAGTGTGTGTATATGTGTGTGCATGTTTATGTGGTTTATGACACAAATTTGTATAATAACATGGGTATGACATAGGTATTACAACGAGAAGGTGATTTATGAGGACATTTTCAGTGTCCCCATAATTCAAAAGGCTTATAAATAATTCAGAATGAGTTTTTTTGAAAATCTAAAAATGCAGAAAGTCTCCTGTGAGGGGTAGGTTTAGGGGTAGGGTTGGTGTAGGGCAATAGAATATACGGTCTGTACAGTATAAAAACCATTACGCCTATGGAGAGTCGCCATAAACCATAAAAACAAACCTGTTGTGTGTGTGAGTGAGTGTGTGTGTGTGTATCTGTGAGTGAGAGTGAGTGTGTGTGAGAGAGAGAGTGAGTGAGAGTGTGTGTGTGTGTGCATGCGAGCGTGCGTGCGTGCGTGCGTGCGTGCGTGAGTGTGTG